AGTCTGTGAGTCTGCTACTGTTTTGTTCCTTCAGTTTTTCTCCATTGTTATACTCTACAAATGAGGGAAATCATTTGATACTTGTCTTTTTCTGCCTGGCTTATTTCACTAACATAATACCCTCTAGCTCCATCCATGTTGTTGCAAATGGTAGGATTTGTTTCTTTCTTATGGCTGAGTAGTATTCCATTGTGTATATGTACCACATCTTCTTTAACCATTCATCTACTGATGGACACTTAGGTTGTTTCCATATCTTGGCTATTGTTAATAGTGCTGCGATAAACATAGGAGTGCATATACGTTTTTGAATCTAAGAACTTGTATTCTTTGGATAAATTCCTATGAGTGGAATTCCCAGGTCACATGGTATTTCTATTTTGAGTTTTTTGAGGAACCTCCATACTGCTTTTCACAATGGTTGAACTAGTTTGCATTCCCACCAGCAGTGTAGGAGGGTTCCCCTTTCTCCACATCCTTGCCAGCATTTGTTGTTCCTAGTCTTTTTGATGTTGGCCATCCTAACTGGTGTGAGGTAATATCTCATTGTGGTTTTAATTGCATTTCCCTGATAATTAGCAATGTAGAGCATCTTTTGATGTGCCTGTTGGCCATCTGAATTTCTTCTTTGGAGAACTGTCTATTCAAATCCTCTGCCCATTAATAGGGTTATTTGCTCTTTGGTTGTTGAGGCGTGTGAGTTCTTTATGTATTTTGGATGTTAACCCCTTGTCAGATATGTCATTTACAAACATATTCTCCCATTCTGTAGGATGCCTTTTTGTTCTGCAGATGGTGTCCTTTGCTATACAGAAGCTTTTTAACTTGATGTAGTCCCATTTGTTCATTTTGGCTTTTGTTTCCCTTGCCCAAGGAGATTCATTCAGGAAAAAGTTGCTCATGTTTATATTCAGGAGATTTTTGCCTATGTCATCTTCTAAGAGTTTTATGGTTTCATGACTTATATTCAGATATTTGATCCATTTTGAGTTTACTTTTGTGTATGGGGTTAGACAATAATCCAATCTCATTCTCTTACAGGTAGTTGTCCAGTTTTGCCAACACCAGCTGTTGAACAGGCTGTCATTTCCCCATTGTATATCCAGGGCTCCCTTATTGTATATTATTGACCATATATGCTTGGGTTTACATCAGGGCTCTCTAGTCTGTTTCACTGGTCTCTGGGTCTGTTCTTGGGCCAATACCAAATTGTCTTGATTACTACAGACACCAGACTTTTATATCACTTGGTATTTCTTTGCAGAATGTGAAATTTGTCTGAGTATAAGTTCTTCAGACATCTTGAGAGAGAAACTGCTGAACTTTAAATATTGGTCAATTAAGTTAAACTGAAACATCCCCCTTTTTTTTTGATCAAGTAAAAATCTTAGACTGTATTAGTCTGAACTTCATCACACAAGACTTTAATATGACTTTGTCATTGTTTTTACCTCTGTCAGAGTTTCACCCTTTTCTGTTTACCATCTCCATTTTCATTTTCTGACCAAATGCAAAAATTCCTTCTCTTGGACTTTGATTTTCTGATAATAACAAAACATTATCTTCAATCCCTATTTAGTGAGGTATTTTCCCCCTTTCACTTTATTATCTATCACATATTTTGGCTTGAATTCTACAGTAGTGACTCTACAGCTTTAATTCTAAGATTTTCTTTTTCATCTTTGCTGGAGTTACTATTATTTCTCTTTTTTGCATGAAACTGTACAGTCACTACGGACTTTTCAGAATTTTAACAATTATTATTGAATCCAGCTTGGGTCGTAGTCTGTGATTTTTTTTTTTATTGCTTCAAAAGCAGATTTCCCTTTCTAGTAATATTTGGGTTAGACTGATGTTCAAATTACTTTACCCATCCTGAATCAACAACAGGTGACATGAGGTAAAAAAAAAAAAAGTTTAGATTTGTAATGGGTGGCAAAGAAGCTCTTTTGAAACATAAAATATATCAAAAACTGATAATTGCTGTTCCTAGAAAAGCTACTCATTGTAACTTGCTCCCTCTTATTTCTCATTCCTATAGGTGGTATGTCTCTTTTGGTTCCAAGCCTGATAGGATAATAAAATATTTTTTATGGGAAACGTTATTATTCAGATATATTCATCAACCTTATGACCTAGGTTCTTTTGTGTAACTCTAACCTCATGGAATTTTACCTTAGTGCTTACCTCTCATTTAGGACTGATTAGTGAAGCAGTTAGAAAGTACTGCTGCCTTGCTAACTCCCCAGATACACTGAGGTAGATATTAATCTCCCTACTAAGTATCCTTGTCTGTTACCTTCTGAGATGTTCTAGTAAATCTCTACAGAATCGTACAGCTTAAAACTTCTCTGTATGTCAGGTCCAACTTGTGAGATACCATAAACTTCTTTTTCAGAACTTTTCTGTATCTTTTTATGTTACATACTTGATGTTACAGATTGCTCATCAGAATTTAGAGAACAAGTCATACTTTTCTATAAAGTAAGGTCTCATGGAAGTTCATAACTTGGCACTTTAGCATTGCAGAGTGGATGGTAGATGGCATGCTAATGCTCAGTAGATATGCTATGTCTAATAGACATTTTCAGTTGATTGGGTATTTGCTAAAAGTGGGTAATTTAAATTATCTACCTGCAATTTAATTATTGAGGATCTATTATTTTTAATATTGCAAGTGGTTAGTATGCATTTACATAAAACTATGAATTGGTGTACAATATAATTTACATTTTTACTAGTTAGGTATTAAAGTCTTACTACCTAGTTCGTGGATATTGGTTGCAAAGTAAATGATTCAGGTTTTAGAACTTTCTCCCATAATCCATTCAGATCTCAGCGGCTACACAGAATGTGGCTGTGCAGGGTGCATAGAAAGTCCCAAGTAACAGTTAAGGAACAGGACACAAAGTCATTAAGCCACGTGATCTACGTCACAAGACTTGAAGTCTACTTAAAGACAGGGTGAACGTGGTAATGAGCCTTATTGTGGTGGTTACCTCACAGTGTACACAAATACTGAACCATTATATTAATATACCTGAAGCTCGTACATGTCAGTTATACCTCTTCTTTAGGAGCTAAGGTCACTTATGCTTAGTCAAATTCCCATGCCTCAGTAGGGACTGCCTGGAGGATCAGCACCTCAAGGCTTATGCAGAGGTGTGAGGTGGTCTTGCTCAGGTCCATGGGTCACTTATTACTGGTCTCCCGCAGAGAAACCTCCTTGCTGCTAGAGAGAAGACAGAATGTCTGTCTGGGCACAGTTGCACTTCAGAGGGAATTTCAAGCCAAAGTATAATGAACAGATGAAGATACAAAGCTTTAATTTATTGTAAAAATTAGGACCAGAAAAGAGATGCTTCACAAACCACTAGCACAATTCACCCAGGAACCCAGCCTGGCCTGGAGAGAAAGTTATAACTCTCACAGGCAGCCAGAGGGCATCTGAAGGAAACTCAAAACAGCTGAGGTCTCCAGAAATAGGGGGCCATAAACCATTGTAATATGAAGTAAAACAATCATTACTGCTCTTTAGAAGACTCGTTAAGGAGTATTTTTCTCTTTTGATAATGCTCCGTGCCTCTACACTTCAGGTGCTCTTCCTCTTCAGCCCCTCCCCGGTTCTCCTATTCTATGGCTCTAGTTCCAAAGCCACCTAATTCACATCTTCATCACCTAATGTACCAATACTGAAAGACTAATAATGGCCTCGTCTCCTGAACGTGTGCTACTTGCCAGGCACTGTTCTCGGTACTTTTACATGATCTCATCTTAATCACAAGATGAGTATTATTTTCCCTGTTTGGTAAGATGAGGCAGTTAAGCAGTCATTTACTCAGCATTGCACAGTTAGCAATTATGCAACGTGAATTTGAACACAGGCTCTTCTCAAATTTGTGGCTTTTCCATGTCACTTCCATTATGATGCCGAGTTATTCCTTCCTGTAATCTCTCCTTTTTCAGGCTTATTCCCACTTAGAGTTACTCAAATACTCGTTTCTTTGTTACTCTCTATCGAAAAATGTAGAGTCACCTGGTAGCTTTTTCTCAGTTGTTAAATTTGGCATTCAAAACTTTCCAGACCTGCCCCACTTTTTCTTCTGTCCTTTTGTCCTGCTCCCAGCTGCCAGTCCTCCCAGGAAGCACCTCCCTTTCTGATTTCTAATTCACGCATCTGCTGGACACTTGCAGTATGCATGGCCTGCTGGCCATCAGCCCTTCTTTTATCATTTTGCTGCCTTTCCAATTCATTTTCCATATCCCTCATCTCCTAAACAGTCTTGTTCAGACCTTCTTGTGATTGGACCCATTTGACTTTTCACCTCTAGCTGACACTCCCTCTCCCCTTTATACTCACTGTGTACTTACTCTTTGGGCTGTTGCAGTTTTATATTCTTAAATTATAAACAACTGTTTAAGTTTCCTTCAAGCACATACTGTCCCCTTTGTTCTATTTCACACTGCTTCAAAGCACCTATAGAAATCTTGATCCAGAGAGCATTTAAGCAATACTGACTAATGTGTTCCATTTGAAGTCAGTTTTATTCAGATAAAACTAATAGTGTTGTCATGCATAGTAATCTAAAACCTGATTTTTGCACCAAAAAAAAAAAACAGAGTGATTTCTTGAAAAATGTGGTACTTAAAGAAATCACATTCTAGTCCTAAAAATCAAGTGAGCTAAAACAAAGAAACACCTCACCCCCAGATACATGGGCCATTTGGTTCATTTTGCTTAAAAACTGTTGTATTCACCATCTGATGATAAAGACATTTGAAAAACTTACATGTTGAAAGGTATAATTTCCCTCTGTGATAACAATAATTTCCCTTTTCTTCTTAACTTTATCAGTATCAACAGTAGTGTAAGTTGCATGGCAAGTGAAAGACTTGTGCTATAACCTAAAGCAGCCCTGGGCGCCTCTGAGAGATGGGAGTTTGAGGGTAATTTTTGGAATTGTGCTAGTCAGTTTCAAATCTGTGTTTTCTTTTTTCAGGTTTCCTGAAATGCAGTTTTTCCAACAAGAAAATGTGAGAAAAATTCTTACAGATGTTCTTTTCTGTTACGCTAGAGAAAACGAGCAGTTGCTTTATAAACAGGTAATGAAAATATCGTACAGGTGGCAACCATTGACTCAAAATTTTCTATACAGCTTGACAAATGATAGAGCGATAATGTAGCCTTTATTGTATCCAAAGTTGTATCATAATAGTAAAGCAATCAAAGAGCTGCTTGTCAGCTGCATAGTGAAAAAAGTAAGCTCATTGAAGCACATATGCTTCTTCTTATTACAAGATATCCTACCAAATTGTCTTCTGTAAGGCATTCAATCTTTTCTTTCGACTTCTGGGAGTTTGTTTATAAACAGCATCTTTTAAGCCAATCTAGTAATAAAACTTCTCAGAGTTGTATATATAAATATTGTTTCTAAGTACAGCATTATAAATATGTGACATGCCATGTAAAAACTAATCATGTCCTTTCACTCTTTAGAGCTTACCAGTAATAGAACTTCAAAAATTCCTTAAATTTTTGAAATGTATATGATATTTTTTGTGATCCTGAAATTTGATTCTTCCATTTAAAGCAAAGATTGTTGGATTATATTTCTTTTTAATTGAAATGTAAATTATTTACCTGTCTAGGTTTCTGTTCAAGGTTATTGGGTTTCAGTAAAAACACACAAGGTTGGATGTTTTTATGTGCATCTCAAATGTATATTAAGTGGGAATTCAAACTAAAAAATAAATTTTCTAACAATCAAAAGTTACAGCATATGTCCAACAGATACTAACTTCAGTGTAATACAGCAGAAAATACTATGGTATTTAATTTGAAATACATTTGATTAGTTTAAAGATAATTAACCAAATCATATTACAGTTGTACTAAATGCTGTTTATGTTATTGTATATATGGAACACCCAAGGGAACTAATTTTATTTTAGTTTTAATATTAGTATAATATATCTTTATACCAATTACATGGTAATAGTATCCTTTTAGAGTGGGAAATGGAAAAAGTAAATCCCATTCATAATGGCAACCAAACCTTTAAAATGTCTAGAAATAAAGTTAGCAATACAGGTACAAAAACTATATGAAGAAAACTAAATGTCATTGGAGGATATAAAGCAAGAGTTGAATAAATAGAAAGTGTTAGTATATTTTTAGATGCAAAGACAATAAATAAAATATTATTCTCCCAAAATTAATATATAAATGTATTATTCCAGTTATAATCTAAGTGAGAGATGTACTTTTAGGAAATGGACATTGTTATTTTAAATTTAGTGCCAAAAAACTTTACAGTAATTTTAATGGCTTAAAAGAGCTCAGTGGTGAAGAACACTGGACCTAGACTCAAATCTGTTTATTTTTTTTCTTTTCTAATTTTTTTTAAGGTATCATTGATATAGTCTTACAAAGATTTCATGAGCAACACTGTGGTCACTACATTCACGCATATTATCAATTTCCCCCCTACAGTCCACCACAATCACTGTCCATCAGCATAGCAAGATGTTATAGAGTCACTACTTGTCTTCTCCGTGCTATACTGTCTTCCCCCTGACCTGCCTACATTATGGGTGCTAATCATAATGCCCCTGAATCCCCTTCTCCTTCCCCAGACACCCTGCCCAAACCCTTCCCTTTAGTAACCTCTAATCCCTTCTTGGAGTCTGTGAGTCTGTTGTTACTTCAGTTTTGCTTCATTGTTATTCTCCACAAAAGGATGAAATCATTCATTACTTGTCTTTCCCCACCTGGCTTATTTCAGTGACCATAATACCCTCCAACTCCATCCATGTTGTTGCAAATGGTAGGATTTGTTTTCTTCGCATGGCTGAGTAATATTCCACTGTGTGCATGTACTGCCTTTTCTTTAATCATTCATCTACTGAGGGACAATTAGGTTGCTTCCATATCTTGGCTATTGTAAATAGTGCTGTACTAAACATAGGGGTGCATTTGTCTTTGAATCTGGGATTTTGCTTTCCTTGGGTAAATTACTAGGAGTGGAATTACCAGGTCAAATGGTATTTCTATTTTTAGTTTTTTGAGAAACCTCCATATTCCTTTCCACAATGGTTGAAATATTTACATTCCCACCAGCAGCGTAGGAGTGTTTGTCGCTCATAGTCTTTTCGATGCTGGCCATCCTAACTGGTGTGAAGTGATATTGTAGTTTTAATTTGCATTTCCCTGATTGTTAGCGATATGGAGCATATTTTCATGTGCCTGTTGGCCATCTGAACTTCTTTGAATAAGTGTCTGTTTATACCCTCTGCTCATTTTTTAATCTGGTTATTTGCTTTTTGGGTGTTGAGGCATCTGAGTTCTTTATATATTTTTAATGTTAACTCCTTGTTGGATATGTCATTTATGAATATGTTCTCCCATACTATAGGATGTCTTTTTGTTCTACTGATGGTATCCTTTGCTGTACAGAAGCTTTTTAGTTTGATGTAGTCCCATGTGTTCATTTTTGCTTTTGTTTCCCTTTCCTGAGGAGATGTGTTCAAGAAAAAGTAGTTAATGTTTATATTCAGGAGATTTTTGCCTGTGTTTCCTTCTAAGAGTTTTATGGTTTCATGACATACATTCAGGTCTTTGATCCATTTTGACAATAATCCAGTTTCATTCTCTTACATGTAGCTGTCCAGTTTTACCAACACCAGTTATTGAAGAGGCCATCATTTCCCCATTGTGTGTCCATAGATCCTTTATTATATATTAATTGGCCATGTATGTGTTGATTTGTCTCTGTGCTGTCTATTCTGTTCCACTGATATATGTGTCTATTCTTGTGCCAATACCAAATTGTATTATTGTGGCTTTGTAGTAGAACTTGAAGTTGAGAAGTGTAATCCCCCAGCTTTATTCTTCTTTCTCAGGATTGCTTTGCTATTCAGGGTCTTTTGTGGTTCCATATGAATTTTTGAACTATTTGTTCTAGTTTGTTGGCACCAATAATGCCATGGTATTTTGACAGGGATTGCATTGAATTTGTAGATGGCTTTAGGCAGGATGGCCATTTTGAGAATATTAATTCTTCCTGTCGATGAGCACAGGATATATTTCCATTTATTGATGTCTTCTTTAATTTCTCTCATGAGGGTCTTGTAGTTCTGAGTATAGGCCTTTTACCTCCTTGGTTAGGTTTATTCCTAGGCATTTTATTCTTTATGATGTAATTGTAAATGGAATTATACCGCATTTCTCTTTCTGCTAGTTCATCATTAGTATATAGAAATGCAACAGATTTCTGTGTACTAATTTTGTATCCTACACATTTGCTGAATTCAGTTATTAATTATAGTAGTTTTGGGATGGATTCTTTAGGGTTTTTTATGTACAATATCATGTCATCTGCAAACAGTGACAGTTTAACTTCTTCCTTACCAATCTGGATGCCTTTTATTTCTTTGCGTTGACTGCCATGGCTAAGACCTCCAGTACTATTTTGAATAAAAGTGGAAAGAGTGGGCATCCTTGTCTTGTTCCAGATCTTAAAGGAAAAGCTCTTACCTTCTTGCTGTTAAGTATGATGTTGGCTGTGAGTTTGTCATATATGTCCTTTATTATGTTGAGGTCCTTGCCCTCTATACCCATTTTGTTGAGAGTTTTTATCATAATGGATGTTGAATTTTGTCAAATGCTTTTTCAGCATCTATGGAGATGATCATGTGGTTTTTCTCCTTTTTGTTGATGTGGTATATGATGTTGATTGATTTTTGAATATTGTATCATCCTTATATCACTGGAATAAACCCTACTTGACCATGATGGATGATCTTTTTGATGTATTTTTCAATTTGGTTTGCTAATAATTTTTTGAATATTTTTGTGTCTATGTCCATCAGGGATATTGGTCTGTAATTTTCTTTTTTTTTTTTTTTGTGGTGCCTTTACCTTGTTTTGGTATTAGAGTGATGCTAGCCTCATAGAATGAGTTTGTAAGTATTCCCTCCTCTTCTACTTTCTGGAAAACTTTAAGGAGGATAGGTATTAGGTCTTCACTAAATGTTTGATAAATTTCAGTGTTGAAGCCATCTGGTTCAGGGCTTTTTGTTCTTAGATAGTTTTTTGATTACCAGTTCAATTTCATTGCTGGTAATTGGTCTGTTCAGATTTTCTGTTTCTTCCTGGGTTAGTCTTAGAAGGTTGTATTTTTCTAGAAAGTTGTCCATTTCTTCTAGGTTATCCAGTTTGTTAGCATATAATTTTCATAGTAGTCTCTAATAATTCTTTGTATTTCTGTGGTATCCATAGAGATTTTTCCTTTCTTGTTTCTGATTCTGTTTATGTGTGTAGACTCTCTTTTTTTCTTGACAAGTCTGGCTAGGGGCCTATCTATTTTGTTTATTTTCTCGAAGAACCATCTCCTGCTTTCATTGATTCTTTCTATTGTTTTATTCTTCTCGATTTTATTTATTTCTGCTCTAATCTTTATTATGTCCCTCCTTCTAATGACTTTGGACCTCATTTGTTCTTCTTTTTCTTGTTTCATTATTTGTAAGTTTAGACTATTCACATGGGATTGTTCTTCTTTCCCAAGGTAAGCCTATGTTGCAACATACTTCCCTCTTAGCATGGCCTTTGCTGTGACCCACAGATTTTGCGGTGTTGAATTATTGTTTTCATTTGTTTTCATATATCACTTGATCTCCGTTTTTATTTGTTCATTGATCCATTTTTGATTCATTTGTTATTTAGGAGCATGTTGTTAAGCCCTCATGTGTTTGTGGGATTTTTCATTTTCTTGGCACAATTTATTTCTTGTTTCATACATTTGTGATCTGAGAAGCTGGCTGAGAAAATTTACCAAGGCTCATTTTGTAACCTAGTATATAATCTGTTCTTGAAAATGTTCCATGTGCACTGAGAAGAATGTGTATCCTGCTGCTTTTAGGTGGAGTGTTCTGCACATATGTCTGTTAGGTCCATGTGCTCTAATGTGTTGTTCAGTGCCTCTGTCTCCTGATTTATTTTCTGTCTGGTTGATCTGTCCTTTGGAGTGAGTGGTGAGTTGCATTCACTTTCCCCCTTTAATTCTGTTGGTATTTGTTGCACATATTTGGGTGCTCCTATGTTG